TGAAATTATTGCTTTGATTTAATGAATATGATTGACTTAATTAAGGCAACAATGATCAAATGAAATCCCTCAATGATTACAATTATATTACTATACACTGTATCATATCTCTGTATCTCTCTATACTATGCAGAGATTGTATATATGTTGGCTGGAAATTTTGTCTTCTAGACAACAGAGGAAAAGAAGGCAACCAGCTTTTCCACCACTGAGAGTTACTTCCTCATCAGAAGGATGGCATCATTCAAGTTTTCTAAACCCAGGAAAAGCTGATTGATTAGAAAAAGCCTCCCCTCCCATTTTAATATACTCATTGGTGTGCAAGCTTTTATTTATTGTATTAGTAAATGCTGAATTAGAAAGCACACTAAGATGAATCACTGTATATAGATAACACCAATTTCACTACTGCACCAGCCAAAAATAATGAGTGTCCCCAAGTCCTTACAGGCTTTTAAATCATTGGGAAATTCTAGATAATTCATGAGAACTCTTTAACTTCAGCAGAGGCCATCCCTGTTCTACTTAACATTGCAGAAACACTTGGTTAGATACTGCTATTAAAAGCAGAACTCTGCTGAAGTTCATGAGGATTTATTTCTTATGGTCAGTTGCACCTAATAAAATCACAGACAATAAATTTAACATATACCACAGTGTGGTGTTTTTAAGGTATGCAGCCTTTTAGCACATGGCCTTTTGGTATGGATGGACCTCAGCATCCAGCACTGAATTTGGGCACAGGTATCAAGAGAACAAGTCAGGAGTTCAAGTTGCCAATATCACAAGGAAATTCTAGTTTGTTGTTTATCATTCCGTAGATAGTCTAAATTGGTCCCAAACCATTTCTTTTCTTGGGAGTATTTTGCAGGATGCATGTTAACAAAATCCTGAATGTGACAGAGCAGACTCTAAGAAGACTCTAAGGAACTGACAGAATAGCTGGAAGGGCCTCAGTTATGGGGCAGAAGTACTGCTGAGCTGGGGACAGGGACCTGTGGACACCCCTGCCTCCCGAGGAGAGTGGAAGAACGGAATGTGTGGGGAAACCTCCCCATACACAGCACCACAACCCAGCCTACCCCACATGAACTGCTGTCTTCCTTGCAGCAGAAGTCCTTCAGATTGTTCAGTTTCAGACACAGCAGTCAGGCTCAATGAACCAGAATTTTTTTTCTGATCAGTTCTACTTAAAGATGAATTCCCCAAAGGCAGGAAAGTCACCCTTTAGTTCTCCTGCTATTTAGGGTTTTTTTTTTTCCTTCCTTTTCTTTTCAAATCTTGTTTTTTACAGCCCATTTGCACCACTTTGCACTAAGCCTGACCCTTCTGAGTCAGCACTAGGGCACAAGACAATAAATCAAAGCCGGCCTGGACCTGCAGCAGGCTAAAAACTGTTTTCCCAGGAGGAAAAGGAGCCTGCAGCCACCTCTTCTCTCTATGTGCCCAGCATAGCTGGTCTCAATAGGAGCCTTGTTTTCACCCTGCAGCATTACAAAATCCAGAGGGGACTCTCTAACCACAGTGACTAGTCAGAATACATTGGTTTGCACAACTTTCCCTTCTGGCAGTCCTGAGTAACGAGCAGAGAGCAGAAGAGCCCCCAACTTCCCCATTACCTCTCCAGGGAAGATGTCGCTTCCCACAGACAAACTGCCTCCAAAAACTCACTGAAGCAGCTTTGATTGGCCTTTTGGGGAGAAGGCTTTTGAGAAATCTAGACATAGCAAAAAGGAACTGCAGTGGGTAATTAAATATCTCTTAATTTGAAATGACACTCAATTTAGTATTGAGGAGCAATATCCTGTATTATCTTCTTAAAGTGATGTGAAAGTGAGGTTTTGACTGCATGTGCACAGGAAATCCTATGGCGGCTTCTGTAACGAGCAGAATCATTGCCAAGCCCTCAGTGTTAAAAAGTACCAGAGACTAAAAATCTCACAGAACTGCTCTGAAAATCAGAGTGTTTTTCAAAAACACAAGCTTAATTTATGTCTTTTTACATTCTCCTATTTATTTTCTGCTTTGGGGTTTCACACCTTCAGGCTTTTTCTAGCCTAGTTTCTTGCCTTACTGAGCTAAGTTTCCTGTAAGATCCCATTCTAATAGGTTATGTAGTTTTAAGAACGGCAACAAATACCGAGTCTCGTCATAAAATAGCAAGAGTTGGCAGTGCCGTTCTCAGGATATTAACTTTTGTTTCCTCCCAAACTGCACTTTCTATAAATAGCAAGTGTGCCTTTACTCTTTCTGTGGTAAATTACATAGATTTTCCTGCATTTCTGTTTCTGCTATGACTCTATGACTCAGTAGTACTGAGCTGATGGACTGAAGCAATGGATACAGAAACCTTTGACACAAAGCTGTTATAAGAAAAAAAAAAGCATTTCTGTAAGAGGAGAGATGAATTGGCCATGGTATTGCTTACGCTTTCCCACTGTAGAAGGGGACATCCTATGTCACCAGTACAGCAACACTGGGAATTTTATTTTGTTGGCAGATGTGCTAGGGCATAAGTGGCCATGAGGTCATCACATGGCCATCTCCTGCTGTGTGTGCCTCATCTGGTTCAGTCTTGTCCTTCACAGTAGAGAAGTGGCTGTTCTGTGCTCTGGACGTGCATGAGCACGACATTAAGAGGGAGATTCACGTCGACCAGCTTTGGATACCCACCAGGGTGACTCCTCCTTCCTCTTAATGACTCCTGCAGTTAGTGGAAAATGATGAGTGCTTTTGAGCATGGGCTTCACCTGACCTGCTTACCCACTGACCCACTTGTGCCATAAAAGTCCCAGCCTCTCTCCACTAACCATGACGAGACCTCAGCTCATAAGCTTTTATTCCATGAAAGACCACATTTTACTGAGCTAAATGGTACTTTTCATTGATTTTGGTATTGGTACTTTTCAGTGATTTGAGATTATCAGCAGAAAGTTAACCTCTAAGTGATGATCAACAACTCTCTGTGATTAGTCCCGATAACACAAATATAACTGGTTGTTAAGTATCAGCAAAGTATATTTTCCACAAGTATACATAAGCTAACTGCATTTACCATAATGTGTTATTTCTGTACTTTGCAGTCTCTGCTACACTTTGACTCATTTATTCTCTAGTTTATCATACAGTAGCAGATAAGAGATAGATAGAAGCCCGCAGGGCTCATTTGCCAGCAACATGCACACAGTCAGGGTCACAGAGCAAATGTGGCAGTCCAGGTGGTGGAAGAAAGGCTGTGGCACCCTCTGAGGCACGAATAAAAGGTAAAAAAAAGCAGGGTGCTACAGCCTCCTTCCATTCAGCACTCTGATGCCAGACCCAACCTGCTTGTGAATGTCAGGAGTCACAGATCAGGCTGAACAGCTGGTCAGACAGGTGGTGGTGGAGCAGGAGAGCCTGCAACACCCAGCGTGCAAGATGTGGAATGCAGGTGCCCTCAGGGAGCAGTAGGTGGGAAAAACACACATGTAAAAGGTGAGAGGCGTGATAGGTCCACATAGCATTTCTCTCGCTTCTGTATCATACCATTATGCTGAAAAGTTGCAGCACAGCATGAGGTCCTGTGCTGCAACACTGAACATCTCTCTTGTTATTTCACACATGGAGCTCGCACACTTAGCGACTCAAATCTTCCCTCTCTGGGAATGCAAAAGTAAGGAATGGGATTTGAAGACTGCCTGCAGTCCATAATTCAGGTTGGATATTAGGAAACATTTCTTCTCAGAAAGAATGATCAGGCCCTGGCACAGGCTGCCCAGGGGGGTGGTGGAGTCACCATACCTGGAGGTGTTCCAGAACAGTGTGGATGTGTCACTGAGGGATGTGGTCAGTGGGCATGGTGAGGGTGGGCTGGTGGTTGGACTGGGTGATCTGAGAGATCTTTTCCAGCCTTAATGGTTCTATGATTCTATGATTCTGTAACTATGCCTTTGTGTATGCATGCACAACTGCATTGTATGTACCTATGTATCTCCTGCAGAATGCTGGGAAATGAGGAAAGATGCAGTCTTGGCTGTTGCCTCTCCCCATTTGATTTTGACATTTTTAACAGGTTTTTCTTTCACACTAGAAGCCTCTTGCCTTTCTTCTTTTAGTTTGAAACATGTACGCTTGTCCCCTTTACGGAGAGCCAGATGGGATATGTCTCATCTGCAAAGGGCAGAACAGATTTTGTCTGATGTGTGGTACCATGTCTTTACAGCTATTTTTATAGCTCTCCAAGTCCTAGATTCTGACTGAGGCCTCTGGGTGCTTCCATAATACTAAGCATATTAATATTCAAATAAGTCCTTTGGAACAAAGGTGATTCTTTATGAGAATTGGGAGTAATCTATGTCTCTGGCAATATTCAATATAAGAAATCTTTATTTTGGGATATATAAATATTATAAAAGTGGCCTAGTAAATTAGAAAATGTGTTAAAATTGAATTTGCTTCACCTCCTGACAATAGGGAAAAATTAATTTTTAAAATAGAATAATGATAACTCCAAGCATTCAAAAATCATGACAAGTCAAATCACAAGCTTTTACATCAGTAATAAAGCTGGGATCCTTTCTCCTTGCCTATAGGGTATTCATCTTCAGAGTTCAGGTGGATGCCATTTTCAAACTGTTCAGTGGAATCATCAGGCCAAAGGCATTTTTGGTCAATGATTTTCACATACCTACATAACTCCTGAACCATATAAAATACTTCAAATATAATCAAAGTAGATGACTCCAAGAAGATGAGAAAATGGATACTCCACTTCTAAGCAACCAGCCCACTCACATAACAAGAACACAGTGATGATTTCAAGCTGGAGGGTGTGTGACATCTAAAAGGCCAAGTATCTCTGGCTGGAAAAGTTCCTTCTTGCCTTAACAGCAGTGTCACACCCAAAGATTAAGCTCTTAATGGCCTAGGCTATCAAAGATGAGCTCATTAGGAATATTATCAGCATAATTGATGCTTATAACCTCCCTCTTTTTCAGCTATAGTCCTTGATGGGAAAAAAAGAAAACAAACAAACAAAAAAACCAACAACAACAAACAAATGTGTACAGTTCAAGAAGAGAAACAACAATTGGAATGGCTCTGGGCTCAAAATTCAAAGATACTGGGCATTGGAGGCAGAACTGTGGTTAACAGCTGGAGAAATCAGAGATCAGATACCCAGCAAAATGAAACAAGGTTTGGCTGGTGAGATGGAGGATGGCCAGAACCATCCATGAATGAAGAGATCAGCACAGAAAGGAGACACTGATGCATGGCAGGGATGGCTGAGTCAAAGCACAGAGTAATCCCAAGACCTTCCCCATATTTAGTGCTGGAATTCAAAAAAACCCAGAAGTAGCAAAGGGTGCATATTTTAGTTTGGGGTATCCAGTAAATCTAAGCCTTCAGCATTCAGCTCCTCAGGCTTTTCCAGTCAGATTCCATGTTCCTAGAAGGCAATACTGTTTACAGACTATGCGTTATCTGGACCGATTTTAAGTCAACCTCTGTCTGCCTCCTTTCCTCCAAAAGACTCCACAAAAAGGAGATGCAGATGTGTTCTAACTAACAACTTGACCTTCTGCAACTGAAAAGTTAGTCAGACTTGCACACGTATGTGTTGCACAGTTGAAGGCTGAATCTGTAACCTGCCTCGTATTTGTGGCCTCACATAGTTGAATTATGTGGACAGAAAGAGTTCAGATATGAGTTCAAATACAAACACTTCACAGAATTGCAGAATCACAGGGGTTGGAAAGGACCTCTGAAGACCATCTGGTCCAACCCCCAGTTATGCCTTCCTTATGACCAGTGTTTTACTTAGAAAGGGAAAGGAGAGGCTGAATTCTTGGCAGTGTCTCTACTGGCAACGCCTTGGCTAGCAAAGCCTGGCAGACACTGGATTTCATAGGTATTTAAAGATGGCTCTTTTGTTTTTATTAATCGCAGATTAATTTCCAGGACTTTGGATTTCTCATGTGACAGAGAGGCTGTTGTAGCCAATGGAAAAAATGTTGACTGCCTGGTGATATTTCAGTTTGCTCATATTAATAAAAAAGCATTTTACTAGCATCAAAGAAAGATAATAAGAGCTTTTCAGCTCTTGACCAGTGAAGAATAGCATACTTTCTTTTTTTGTTGTTTTGTTTTTTTAATGGTGAAGCTTTTCAAGGACGACCCTTGACTCTGGTGTGCTCAAATGAAATGGCTTTAAGCCATCCTGAAATTAAGGTTTTAGCAAACAAACACAGAAGTCTTCAGAGGCTTCCACCACAGTGCTTGTTATCTTTCTGCTGTTGTATCAATGTGAAATTCAGCTATGTGAGCTGAGGATTACATAAGAACTTTCAGCTTCTGATTAGTATCTTAATGCTGAGTTTCTTTCCTGTCGTTCCTTTATTTGTGGAAGAACAGTTAATGTGAACCTCGAGTAAAAGGTGACTACTCCAACAAAGCCACGTTGCTTCTCACAGCACAAATGTGCCATCCATCAGCATCAGCGCCTGCAGCATCCCACTGCTCAGACATGCTGTGAATAGCCTGACTGAAGAACATCCAGGGAAATGATGAAGCCACAGCTTCATCCTGTGTTTGAACTCCTGGTGCCCAGGAGTGAAGCAGAGCTCTTAGGGATATCAGCCCAGATATCTTCAAGCAGCCCGCAGGTGAGTGAAGCTTGGTTTCTGGGTCCATTGCAGAGGGATACTGTGCCCTCCTTCATCACCCCATGTCAGCATTTCCAAAGCATGGTACAAGGATTTCTACTCAATCCAGCTCACCCATGAAGTTAATTCTGCATCTATGCAAGTCAGGAGCTGGTTAATCAAGGCTCAAAAAAACAACACTGGAAACTAAAACTGGAAGGTTTTTGGTCTTCTTTTCGCAGTGCAGGATGACAATTTTATACACTCCCCTTAGAAGGCTTGAGAGAGGCAGGGCATTTATCCCATTTCCCCTTGACAAAACCCAACCCACTGGTGCTTCCACGTTCCATAAACTGGGAAATCCATGAAACCCCTGCAGCAACACCGGAGCTGACAGCAAGGTTGGCCAACTACTCTGCTTTAGCGGCTTCATTCAAAACTAATGCGTGCTGAATTAGCACCCAGCTAGTGCCTCGGGGCCTAGAAGGGGTTCATAATCACCTACACGCATCTCAAAGTAACGACAAGCATACAGCGAATCAGAGGGAAAAAGAACGACAGCCCGAGGGCCGCCTCAGCCCGCGGCGCCCGGAGGTGCCGTAGTGGCCGCCAGCCGGGCTCGGGGCGGCGCCGCGTGCGGCTGCGGGGAGCGGATCGGGGCCGCGATAAATGCCGGCGCAGCCGTGTGAGCGCTTCAGCGGTAGTAGTTCTGTTTTCTCCTTCGGAACCCAAACCTCCTCCTCCTCCGCCACCGCCACCTCAGTACGTGTAATGGAAAGTCAGAGGCGATAGAGAACGTGGCATCCGCCGCCTCGCATCCACGGGTGGCAGCGGGCGAGCCGCCTTCCCGGGCAAACGACGGCATCGGCGAAGCGTGCGGGCGGGAGGCCGCTCTCGCTCTAAGCTCCCCGCCGGCGGGGCCGCCCCGGTCCTCCCCCCGCTCTCCCCCCACCCGGTGCCGCTCCCCGTCCTCATCCCGCCAACGGGCGGACGGAAGCGCGTGGCGGCGGCCGCGCCATGCTGTACGGGCCGGCGGCCGCGTCCCCCCGCGCCCTGGGCCGGCTCCGCGGCGTGCCGCTAACGGGACGGGGCGAGGCCCGAGGGAGGAGGGCTCGGCTCGCCGCCTGCCCACGTCCCCTCCCCGGCCGAGGAGGAGGAGGAGAAAGCGAGCGGGGGCCAAGCCGATCAGTTAGGAGAGGGTTTGAAAGAGCCCTCCTCCCTCCCCCCCGGAGGGGAAAAGGAAAGCGAGAGCCGTGGCGAGCGGCCGAGGATGATAACTTAGGGCGGGAGGGCGGGCGGCCGTGCCTCGGGTGGGAGCTGCCCGCGCTGCCCCGTCCCGGGCGAGAGCGGCTCCGAGGGAGGCAGAGATGTCCGGGGGCGCGGCGGGGAGCGAGGGAGAGCCCCAGGTGCGGCCCGAGGGGAAGGAGAGGCAGAGGAAGAGGAGGAGGAGGAGGAAGAAGAAGGAGAGCAAGACGCGGCTGGTGCGCTCCAGCCTGCTGCCACCTGAGGCCGAGGCGGAGAAATCCAAGCGGCCCGCCCTGGCCAGCAACCGCCTGAAGACCACCAAGTACACGGCCCTCTCCTTCCTGCCCAAGAACCTCTTCGAGCAGTTCCACCGCCTGGCCAATGTCTACTTCGTCTTCATCGCGCTGCTCAACTTCGTGCCGGCCGTCAACGCCTTCCAGCCCGAGCTGGCTCTGGCCCCCGTGCTCTTCATCCTGGCGGTCACGGCCATCAAGGACCTGTGGGAAGACTACAGCCGCTACCGCTCCGACCAGGAGATCAACCACATGGAGTGCCTGGTGTACTGCAGGTGGGGCCGTCGTGGGTTGCAGAACATGGGGGCACTGGGTTTTCCAAAGGGCTTTCATGCTGAGCATGGAGAAACCCGTTTTTATCCTTGGAGTTGTCTTGGGCTTCTCTGTTTCATGACCTGGAGCTGCAGGTGTTGCTAAATCTCAGCGCCTTCAGGTGGAAGCCAACTCGCCCTAACCACTGGGACTTCCAAAGCACGTAGGCTTATGAGTAAGCAGCAATTAAGCATAAGTCTATGTATATGTGCTGGGCTTTGTGATGTTTTATATTTTGTATTGGGGACAGTGCATCACAAAGTGACAGCAAGCGTGACAGGCATGGCTTGACTCAGAAGCCCTTAGGCAAATCGTTCCCGGTGTGAAGTAGCCAGCCACACCAATGTGTTGTTTCAGGCATTAATTTGACTTCAGTAATGCGAGACCTCCCTCAAGTAATCTGCTAATAAATCTTTGTTGAGCAAAGGCTGGAGACCAGAGGCTTCTGCATTTGGCTTAAGAGTGTGAGGTTTCATGAACTAGTGAGCCCGAACTGTGTTTGCATTTCTAGAGAATGTGAGACAGTCCTTTCACTGAATTGCACTTCTGAGTGAATGCTTTATACTTATCTTCTCAGGTGTCATCATTCCTTGTGGCTTTGCTCTCTCCCATAGCTTGTGGATGGAGCTCTAGGTCATTTATCTCCTTCAGACGTATTTGTTTTTTGAATGATCCAGGCTATAGGTTTAGACTACAGTCTTGGTATCCATAAATCAGCCTGAAATGTCTTCTGCATTAACACTTATGTGTAAGAATCCAACTTTAGAAAACTCATGTTTTATCTTCCTCACTGTGCCTGCTAGTCATCTGGTAGTAGCTCAGAGTAAGATTTGGGGAAATTGAGTGAAGAAAATAGTTTCCAAGCATGCAGGTTTCATTTTTCATTCTGATGTGTAGATCAAACGGAAAAGGAACACGTGCCAAGAAGCTTATACTCCGATTCCACAAGCTGTCTGGGAGGGGTACTCTGGGCTGACGTAAGCACAGAAGCAGAGAGCAAGTCTCCTATTCTGGGAAAGGCGTGTGAAAAGAAATAAAATGCTAAAAAGAATCCAGAATAGTCTATGTTTTCAACATCCAGTATTTTGTTGCTTTTTAAACTCATATCACAGAAGAAATCTCACTCTGGGATATTCCACTGCCTCTAGATATGCATGGGAACACAAGTAAAACAGTCTAATTTCCGTAAACTAAAATAAGTATAACCCAGCCATGTAGCATTTATTGGCAGGGCTAACCCAAGGCTCTGCCTAGTTCTTTGCTTGCCTGTAGTTGTTCTTGACTGTGAATGCTTCTGGTGTTGAGGGAGATGGGCAGCAGGAAGGCTAGTAAGAGACTATTCTTGCTCAGAAATAAAATAGGACTAGTGTGGATGGTTAATCCAGTCCCTACCAAATAAAACCAGTTTAGAAATAAGCTGTCATGTCTCCTGGATTGAAAAACAAGAAGAATCATAGAATAGTTTGGGTTGGAAGGGACCTTAAGAGATCATCTTGCTCCAATTCCCCTGCTATGGGCAAGGACACCTCCCACTTGACCAGTGCTCAAAGCCCCATCCACGCTGGGCTTGAATACTACCAGGGAGTGGGCACCCACAGCTTATCTCAGCAGCTTGTTCCAGTGTGTCACCACTATCACAGTAAAGAATTTGTTCCTTATATCTAGTCTAAATCTACCCTCTTCCAGTTTATAGCCCTTACCCCTCATTCCATCACTACGTGCTCTTATAATATGTCCCTCCCCAGCTTTCCTGTAGGCCTCCTTCAGGTACTGACAGGCTGCTGTAAGGTTCCCCCGGAGACTTCTCTTTTCCCGGCTTACGATCCTCAAGTCTCTCAGCCTGACCTCACAGAAGAGGTGCTCCAGCCGTCTGATCATCGTCATGGCCCTCCTCTGAACCTGCTCCAACAGCTCAACATTTTTGTTATGTCAGAGGCCCCAGAACTGGACGCAGTAGTCCAGGTGAGGTCTTCACAAAAGCAGAGTTGAGGGGCAGAATCACTGCATTTGCACCTGAAGTGCACGTGGGCCAAATCCCCGTAGGGTAATGAAGCTGGAAGCTTGAACTACATCACCTGTTCAGATAGAGCTTTCTAGCTAGTGGAATACTAAGCTTCAGTATAGCTGTCTGCAGAACCCTTGTTTCTTGCAGCAGCTTGACTATTTCTGCCCACAGGCAGTCCTTAGGAAATGCCCTGCTCTTGCAATTAAAAGAAGTAAACAAAACAGGTAGCTAAAATGAATTGCTTATATGGCATAACTGCCTACTTTTTCTTCTTTTTTAGCCATTATTTCAACTTCACTAAATGATTTTTTTAAACATCTCCTAGCCCCAGTGGGTGAGATGGGACAACAAACTTAAGGTTTTCACAGATAGAAACAAAGATTCTCACTAATGTACATGACTTCTAGAGCTGAATCTTGGAAGCAGGGAACCAAGATTGAGCATTGTGTATCAAGATCATAAAGTCACTGGGAGTGCGATCAAAAAGCTGTTTTTCTCCAAAAGGTGTCCTGCTGGAGTTCTCCTTGAGGAGATGGAACTTTGTTTCCTCAGTCTCTCTCTCTGTTTCTGGAAAAATGCTCAAGCATAGACATCACAAAAGGAAGTAATAAGTGACATCTTCTCTCACCACATCCGTTTTGTGCTGATTGATTTATCAGTTCTGCTACTTTTTGACCAAGTAATGACTGTCTCTTCCTTCCACTTCCTTGTGGTGTCAGTAGGACAGACTCTTCTGCAGTGTTTGTCATAGATTTAGTGCAGGTTAATGAGCGCAGCTCAGCCCTGCATTGCCCTAGAGCTGCCGGAGAGCAGCAACTCTTCCCTTGCTGGCCATAGTTGAGTGAGATGGGATATGGCTGAGTGCTACACTGGACCTCCACGCTGCTGTGGGCCCCTTTCCAGCTGCATTCACATACATCTGAAAAAACTACTTACTTCAACACTCAGACACAGTCAACAGCAAGTGGGAAGCTGCAGTCAGCAGCTTGAGACAGGGACTATTGCATCACTGTAGCAGAGAAAAGCCCTCTGTCTTTACATCTTAGGTAATCTTTAGTGATTGAGTGAAGATTCGGGTCAGATCCCATATGTTGTGCCTTGTGTCTTCTGTGCCAGCTCATCAGAAAGGGGCTCCAGCAGCACTAGGGCAGTGCCCACGGCGAGGTTCCCTGCCTATGCAAACCGATGGTGTCAGTAATTTGAACACGAGGAAAAATGCCATTCTTCTGCTGTGCTGACTGCTTAACAGCTGGTGTGCAGGCGAGCCCTCCTTCCTCCGCTGTCCCTCCTCCACGGACTCAGATGACCCATTCACATACAACTGCTGCTGAATCAATGACTCAGTTGGCAAAACTTATCAGACGACAGAACGGCAAAGGATGATGCAACCTCAAGTAATAAGCTGGAGATGCAGCTTGTTCTCTCAGAAAGAGGAGACAGCTTTAATGTAGAAATTCTCGGTGTTTCAAAGAGTCCCTCAAAAGCTCCTATTTTCTAGACAGCTGGTAGACAGTGAAAAGACCTAATTCTTTGAAGGAATTGAAATAAGCTATTGAGTTTGAATTAGCAGAGTGTGTTGAGGAATAAAGTGTTCTGGAGAACTGAATAATTGTGTTGGTGTGTGATATAATTTGCAGGTCCTCCTTTATCAGCATGCTGGTCTTGATAGGAAAAGAGGGAAGGTTTCTTAGCCATGAGGAGTCAATGGAGCCTCTCTCAGGCTCCTGCCCTGCTTGTGACTACAGAGAAAACCAGACACTGTCTTAGGAGTACAGTTTCACAGGTCACTTAAAATTCAGATTTAAGTTGGGAAGGCTGGATCATGGAAAATCACATTGTCTCTTGTTTAGTTGGTTTAAATGTAAAGAAGTTAGACAGACATTAGAGCCTAGTCTGCAGAAGACTGTTGTGCAGAAATCCTTCACGACTTGGCAGTCACCTTAATCACATCTCTTTGCTCCCTTTCTATATTTCCATCACCCAGGGATGGAGGTTGATGTCCGGAGATCACAAATTTTTAACATTGTAGTGAAATCTTGTTTGATTAGTTACTTTTCTGGGTTATGAAGTTGGACTTGGAGGGTGGAAGAGTGATTTTTTTCTTGGCAGTTTCACATGAATATTTGCTCCAAACAAGTCCAGCACACATTGCTCCTGCTCTTAAATATTTGATAGAACTAAATTTGTCATTGGAATAGTGTTAAAACTCTTCTAAGCACAGGCTTTGTTTTCAGCGTGCTGTCACAAAGTATGGTATGTATTTGCTTGGTATGTAAATAGGAGATGAATAGTGATAACTGCAGTCACAACAAATAATGGCACTCATCCAGCAAGGAATATATTTTGTTTCTGTCTAAGTGCTTTGTTGGTGAAATTCTCTCTTCTAACACTTTTCTAGAAGCCTTATGTTCAAAACCAAAGGGCTTTGTTTTTTAGGTTTACTGTAATTCTTGCTGTGTCCACTGAGGAGCATTGCTAAAGACTGTAATGGTCTCTACATGCTGATAAGAGTGGTAACTGCTTCTTCGCTCAGCATGTGACTTAGAAAATATGTGAAAAATTGGAATGTATGACCTGATACTTGTTTTGCCAAGGTGTGGAAGATGTCGAATGGGTCTTCTCTCCCTCTGTCAGCCTGCCAGTGAAAGCTATTCCATCCTGTGAGAAGAAAGATACAGAATGTTACCAAATCCTCACAGGAGCGTAGCAGATGCCACTCATGGCCTGTGAAGTAGCCACGGGATGACTCTGTGCAACCACTCCATTTAGGTCCCATATTTTCCTGCTGACACCAGCCTCCAGGACGTTGGTTGTGACTGCCTCCTACGCTAACCAAATACACCCACACATAGTAGCGTCTTGTCCCAAGAACTGAAGGCATTTCTTCTGGTGACATTTATCACCAGAAGAAATAAACTTGTCTCATTGCTTCCAGAAAGAAAATGTCACTAGACCTGA